TCGGATTTTTATTTCGGACCACTTACAAAATCCGAAATATTTCGGAATTTGAAAAACAATTTCGCCCGAAACTTTAGTGGAACTGATTATAGATTTAATGAAAGTAATGTTAAAAATGGCTTAAGGTGTATCCTTACGGATTAACGTCTTCAATCTCTTCTCACGGGATAGTATATAACTGAAGACTTATATCCTGAAAATGTTTTTAAAGAAGGTAATTATTTTCTCTAAGGCAACACAAAGTTGATTTTCGTTTTGCATAACTTGATGTTTCGAAATCACATGAAAACTCAATTAATATCAAAAAAAATCTGATTATTAACTGTTTAAAAATAATACTTTTGATACTAAGAAAAGTCATACTTGATCATGTGATAAATCAGTAATAGGTGACTTTAACCTTGGTAAAGTAAAATTTCTTATAGAATTTTTTTTTTTTTGAACTAAATTTTTATTTTTAAAATAATTTGCTATATATATAGACTAGATGCTGGAAAAAGGACAAAACAAAAAAGATCTTATAATAGATTATAAAAAAATACAAACTTTAAAGAGCCATACTACAAAATTATATTAACACAACTGCTTTTGTGTCTAAAGTGAAAAAAATCCTAACCTTATTCTAAATTACTTTATGTAAAAAAATTTGGGTTGAAAAAATTATTATTTTTGATATATATAATATATAAGTTGGCAGGTTATACAAAACGAAGAATTAACTTTGTATAACAAATTTTAGATTTTTTTTTTTACATTTGATATCTAATAATAATAATTTTTAGCTCAAGAATTATTAACATTCGAGTTCGACAATGACTTACTAATGTCAAAATTCGAAACTTGAAATTAGCAAGTCACATTAATGATAATATTATCTTAAAAGATGATCTTTTTGTAGCATATTCCGAATATATGAAGCAGCGTAGATATATTATAACACGCATTATTAAACTTTACCGATACATTCGATATACACTTTTAGATAATGATGGAGAATTCTATTCACATATCAAGCTTCATATTGGCGATATTATAACCATAAAGGAAGAAAATGACAAGTTCTATGCTATTGTTAAAGCTATCTTTACTCACAAGTATAATGATGGACATGTGTACACCTTTGTTTGGATTGATTTGTTAAAAAATACTAAGCGTACCATTCTCTTATTTTTGAAAGACAGACTAATTTAGATACAAAATGGTATCGAACTTATCTAATTTCAGTTCTTAATGACATTCCCAAAGTACACTTTGTACATGCATGCCGGTTATCTTGCTTAGCAAGATCTTATGATAATACCAATAACCAATACTTCATAAATAAATTTTTTTATAAGGCAGTTTAAAAGAAGAGATGGTTTAAAAAAATATATACTATAATATGTTATATAAATAGTAATTCATGCTTCGGGTTTATGTAAACTTTTTTTTACTGAAATAATTTAATTACTCTCTAAATGTAATTTGAAAAATGCTATGAGTTAATATAATTTGTATTAACTATAATTTAGAATTTATTATTTTGTTTAAATTTTTAAAAAAGCTACCAAAGCTAAAGTTTTTTTTAAACTGATATAAGTAACGATTTCAACGGTGAAAAAGTGATAACTAATATTAAGATATTAGTGAATGGTAGAAGCATGAAGAGTCTCATGCTACAGTTAAATGCCTATTTGTTTAAATGTAAAAGGAAATAAACATAGATAGTATAAAAATATGAAATAGGATTATATGTCACGCAATAGCAATCACAGTTCAGGTTTTATATAAGTATGAGGATTTTACATTAATTACCACTACAAATTGATTTTTCATGTTTGCTAATCTTGGCGATAAGAAAACTCTGGCTTTAAGGTGGCCTTTGCTTTCTTTACTTTATCTTCTTCCCTGTTACTACCTGAATTCCTTGATCCAAGCTGTTCACATGCAATACCTTCCCCTTAATATCTTAATTAGAGCCAGCAAATCGCCTAAATAAACACAACAAAAACCAAATAAACCACTCTTGACTTAAAACTATTAGAGTATTACACTTCTACTGGACTTTGGCAAAGTTATTAACTCAGCGAGTTGATTATTTTGAAAAGAAAAGGCTTTTATGATATGCTTTAAATCCAACAAATATATTATTTACTAAAGTTGTGTTTTTTTTAATTTCTTTTTCTTTTACACTAGCTAAAACTAATATTTCTCTTAGTCTTATTAAAAAGAACAATAGCATGAACTATAATAAAAAAACAAACAGAGCTTTTTACAATAGTCAAGAAAAGTTTAACTCAATTCAATGAACACTTAATTATAACTTAGATACAATGTATGTACATGACTATTTTTTTTATTTTTCATAACTAACTTTTTTGTTTAATTCGGTAATTAGCTTCTCGACTTACCATTTTTTTATTACCATCGCCAACATTAAAACTACATGGATTTAATTAATTGTGATTCTCAAGTAGGTTTGTTGGGTGATTTTGACACTTTTTGCTCTTTTTTTCGATTCATACTGGTTAGGGTTTGACAACTATGGAGAAAGCGAGATATTTTGTAACTTCAAAGTATCAAATTTGATTAAGTTGTTCTATTTTATAACCTCTTCATATGTTTTCTTAAAGTAGAAACATAACAGAGTAAATAGATGACTAAAATTTTCACTTATTTTTATTAGATTATTCTTTGGATATTTACTCAATTTCATCAATTTAATCGATCTAAAAGATTTTTGGGACCATGAGATTCACAGTAACTCCTTTCCCATCGTATAACCCTTCTCTTGGATTTTATATCCATTGTACTACTAGAAGTAGTTCATGACTATCAGTATGATATGTATACGTACTGACTACTATGTATGAATATAGTATTTGCATTTCTCAAAATATTAGTGTCTATTTAATTTATCAAATATACTAACTATTCAAAAGCACTGTTAGAATTCATCTAATTTAAAATCAATAGTTCAAATATTATAGTTATTGCATAGTGTCTGTAATGATATGATGATGATAATTAATTTTAGCAGCATAAGATCCTATTTATGATTGTTACTTTTTTTTAAGTTTTTAATCATTTGTATATAAGGTTTTAGTTACAAGAATTCAACTTAAAACTTTTGATTTTTTCTATTAGATTCACATTTACTTCATCCAACAATTATCTATTAATAGTCATACCAAGACTTTTATTTCCAGCGTCAGCCATGTTCAACAATCTTATACAACAATTATTTATCGTGACAACTTAAAGTTTCAATCCCTTGGTTGTAAAATCGTTTGTTATGAATTAGCAGCAACTACTTTGGAATTATTTTATTTCTTTATTATATGTTCTAATTGATTGTTACAAAAACAAAAACTAATTTATATTTTTTTGTTCTATACTTAGAATAATTCAATTTCTTTCGAATTATAATTTATGGTATATTACTACTGAAAGATTGCCACGCTATTGCATTATAGTAATGCTAATCCAACCAATCTTCAGGTCATGTGTCACATGTTTGTCAGTATTCTTGTGTTGTATGTTTTTATTTATTTATTTTTTTTTAACAATTTTTTTTTTTATAAAAACTTTTTTTTAGTGTTGTCTTCAATATTATCTTGTGAAGTTGCCATTTATTAGTGACATGATTTTCACTTTTTTCTTTGGAGTTAGCATTTCTCTCTCGATTTTGTTAAACTTGATCATCTCTATTGGACATCCTTCATGGAGTCGCCATTTATTGGTGAGTGTGTTTTTTTTCTTTGGGTTTCTAGAACCTTTTTTTGGTTTGTATGTTTTAATTTGCTGACTTGAAAATGGGTACCTGGAATCCGGAATGTGAATATTCTTTTTTTTTCATTTGCTACTAAACTTTAAATGGTCTATGACATTTCACGTTGATTTTTTCACGAAGTTATGTGCACTAGTGGAACATTTAACGTTGATGTTGTTATTAAAAAGGAATTGGAGTTGAAAAGGATAAACATGAGGCATTTATTCAAAAATCTGCAGAGATAGAACATAATAATAGAATGCTTAATGTTGCTATAATGGGATCGGAATTAAAAAGAATAAACAAAATAAGATACATTATGATGAAGGAATAATGCACTTATTAAAATCTGCAGAGATGAGCATGCAAGTAAAATATATAATATTGGAGTTGAAAAGAATGAACGTAAATAAGCCTGCAGAGACGGGACAGCTTTTGGATGTTATTACAGTGAAGGAATTGGAGTTGAGAAGAATGAATATAATGCATTCGCTTATTATCAACATTCGTAGAGATGGAGCAAGCTGAAAGTATAAAGAATAGAATATATAAATTAAATGTTACAGAGATGAATATTAGAATAGGTTTAGAGATTAGGGTTAGCATAGCAGAAGTTCGTTTTGATTGGTTGTTAAGATATCCCGGAAAAAATGTCGATCATATCTTGGATATAATTCCGGACAAAAATTTTATAACTTGCAAACTTTTAAAAAATTAGTCAATACACTCTAAAGACATTATAAATTTACAATATACTAATTTAGTTTTATATTAACAACTTTAATTTGGATTTTACAAGGGTTTTGTTATTTTTTTCGTAATAAATACATATAAATGTCTACTAAATAACGCGTACGTGACCATTCCTAACACTACCATTAATATCACTTATTGTCATATCTACAAAGTATACTTGCATCTAAATAAATTATAATCAAAAATATTAAAATATGGTTTAGAACAATAGTTCAACATAATATTTTTACTTGTAAAAAAACAAAAACTAGTTGAAGCGAATCTTTCAATTTCAACTTACCAATTGTCTAGACTGCCGGACCACTTTCCGACCTTTCAAAATATTCACCTCTCATCTAGTTTTTGGAACTATTGCATCTTATTGCATCTCAGATTAAAAAACAATAAGTTTAAAGGTAAACTACCAACAACTCAAGTTGGTTGTTATGTTTTGTATTACGAAAAAAAGTTTCATATGACACGACGATTTTTACTATTAAAAGTACTTTAAAAATTACAATTGACTATAAAAAAAAAAGATCGTCTCCAATCATATTTATCCTAATAACAGCCAATCAAAACAAACTTCTATATTTAAGGTTAGAAGAGATTGGATTATTTTAGAAAATAAGATAGATTTTGAATATGTATACATATAATATATTATTTATTATAATAAATTAAATAAAATTATAGAATAAAATTAAATTAATATTTTAATTTGTAAATTATTTTATTGTATTGTTTTAGTATTGGTTTAATAATAAATATGTTTTAAATATGTTTTTAAAATATAATAAATACATTACTAAAATATAATAAATACATTTTTAAAATATAATATATATATTCTTAATATGTTTTAAAATATAATATATATGTTTCTCAAAAATCAACTCTTCCTGATAATTATCTAGACTGAAATTTTCTGCTAACAAAAAACCAAAACTACTTGTTGGAGAGTCGTGGCCTATACAGTGGTTTGTTTAGAGGTTAACTACTACTCTCGGGGACTTCTCTAAAGAAGGACATTTGGCATGCAAGCTAGGAGCATTATTATACAAGATAACTAGCAGGTGGTGCCCTTGTATAAAAAATCTTGGTGGAGTATGGGTGGAGAGGCCCAACTCCGTCGACGAAGCTATTTGGTCGTTACTTCAATGAAGAATACAGAGGAAACAACAAGAAGCTCTGCTCTTTCAACACACTTGTTTAAAAATTTTGAAAGTACTTGCAACTCTCTCCTCGCATTTTTTCCTTCTGTCAGTTTTTCAAAAATTTTTTTCTCAAAAGTGGGAATTTGGCTAACCCCCTCCAAAAGATCGACATTGTTTACATCCCAAATCTGAAAAGCCGAGTAGATTGCAACCACATGTTCGACGGATATGGTGCTACTAATTTAGATAAGTTCTGAGTTCTAGGTCAGAACCAAATATTCCGAAGTCGGTCATATAGTTACGAAGCGTTTTATTAGAGAGTATTTGTTATATAATTTTTATACTTGCCTGGCATGGGGTATAATAGTGTACTTTTTTTTTTTCTTTTGTTCTATTTGTACTGCTTCTTGATAGAGGTAGTTCTCCCCTTTGTCAGCCCTCGGGCTTTTCTCTTTGATTTTCTTTTTTTACATTTTATTGTACCCCCTTTTATGTTTCCTTTAAAAATTCTCCTTCGTTCTATCTGTTTTTTTTTTTAGTTAGTTTTTTTGTTTGTTTTCTTGGTACTATTGGTGGTTTTGTACTAGTTATAAGATAATTACTTTCTTTTACTCTCAGTAAAGAAAGGAAATATGAAGGGAAAAGCTTTGACGGGCTGACAAAGTTTATCTAACTTGTTTACAGATTGGTATAACATGTCGCATCTGGGCGCACATGATGTAGCTGGGTGATGTCGGGCTTGCAATTTTTTAATTAGATATTATTAGAATTTTTGAACTTTGTTTTGTAGTCTAATAGTAATTTAAGCATCGACAAAACTGTCAAAGAATAAATATATATATATATATATATATATATGTTTCTAATATGTCTTTAAAATATAATATATATGTTTTTAATATGTTTTTAAAATATAATATATTGGGGTTGGAATCCCACGACCTAGTTGTCTAGGCATCCAACCCTCCACAAGCGGGTTTCTAGTTCAAGTCCTAGTAGGTATATTTATCTATGAATATTTGGAAGTATCTGCTGTGGGAAGTCCAAGTGAATACAGGTCTGGATTAGAAATTTCTGGAAAGAGGTCTATTGTGGAGTAGTTGGCACTATGTGTAACAGGGGTCGTTACAGAAGGTTCTATTACACAAATAGTTGTGTGTGTAAATCCACGATTGGCAAGATAGCACCAACAACCCCAAGGCGGAATTGGGGATTTTGTTTGGGAGGACAACTAGATAGTAACTAGAATTGGAAGTGGTGAGAAATGTGGTAAACACAAAGAGACTTGTGATAAAGAATTGGCCTTACCAGATTTGGAATACCTCTGGCACTTGTACTACTATAGATTGAATAGGATTTCCTTATATAGAGTAAAGTTGGCAGGTGAAAACTTGGGATACGCTTAAAACAAACAAAGCACAGCAAGGTCATACTCAACTGGAAGTACTTGTCTGGTCACCAGGTCACATGAGCTGCCTTAGTTGTATATTCTTTGGCTACTTTGGTAGTATGACTAGAGGAAGATTCTAGAATGAGATCTGGAAAAAGGAACAAGTATGAAACAAAACACAGGAATACCAACTTTAAAATACCAATATATAATACTGGAAGTAGTACAATATGTACTCGGTTGGAAGTTTCGACACCCATAACCTGTGAGACCCACCAATTAGGGAAGTATCTGTTATCAAGTCCTGCATGCATATTATCAACACTATACGTAATAAAGAAGGTTGTGCTTGAGATACAAATTGGGTTACGGTAGCATTACAAATAATGGCTTGAGATACGAACTTAATAACGGTAGGCAACATATACTACACCAATCTGGAAGTAGCCATGAGGTTACACTTGCCTGGTGCTCCCTAGTGGGATCTGTAATGGATACCGCACTGGAACCATATTGGGAGTGTAAGGTTGTTAGTATAAGAAATATGGGGAATATATTAGGGTTAGAATAGGATATTTAGTTAGTGATATACAAAATCCAGGTAATACATGAGTGGGACATGGACAGCTCTAGTAGGTATAAATCATAGATAATTAGTCTAAGCCACTGTTCTATTAATTATTGTATAAATATATGTAATTTATATACGTATATACTTAATAAATAACATGAGGCAAGATCTCATCTTAAAAAAAAAAAAAAAAAAAAATATATATATATATATATATATAATATATATGTTCTTAGTATGTTTTTAAAATATAATAAACTTATACTTAATATGTTTTTAAAATATAATAAGCTTATTTTTAAATTATAATAGGTATATTTTTAAATTATAATAAATATATTTTTAAATTATAGTATATATATTTTTAAGATATAATAAATTTATTTTTAAAATATTTTTAATAATAATAATTTTAATTTATATTGTTTATATTATAATTATTAAATTATCACTAGTAATTATAACATTTTTCAAAACATAATAAAAACATAGTAAATATATAATAATAATATTTGTAATTTTTTTTAAGTTTCAGTAAAGTTTAAACCTAAGTTAGTACTAGGGTGTTATCTTATATATCTCCTGCCCTTGTAC